GTGTTATGCACCTGAGTTCACACTAATTTGTGTTCTTTGTGTCAGCGGTGTGCTTACCTGTGCGCCCATCTGAACGTATTTGCATAATGGAGTGTGTGTACTCTTTCCTGCGTTGCACAGCAGTGGTGCTCTGTGCACCCAGAAGTAGATGGAAGTAGATATGCTTGTACCCAGAAGTAGGACTGGCTTAATTATGTGTTTTATAAAAGTTGCTTCTTGAAAGATAACTGATTTACGATCTTCCTGACATACAATTTTGTTGTAAATATTTTTTTTCCCCCCAACTATAAAATCATTCAACCATACATTGAAATATTAGAGTAAAGGAGTTAGCCTACCAGGGCTGTGATGTGCTATTAGTGATACCAACATGAATATCACTACTGCTAATAGCGAACATTTATTCTATATGGCAGAAGGCCCCCAGAGGGATGGTTGTCACAATACATTATTCTTGCTTTGTTCTAAGCACTAGTTTAAGATTTGTACCTGTGCAACTCATTGAACCTCACAGTATTCCTTCCTCAGGCAAATACTTTCAACAACCTTGTTTTATCGGTTGGGAAACCTAGGCACAGAAAGATTTAGAGAAAATGCTCATCGGTCTGCAGCCCTATACCATCTGGCTCTAGAATCCCTGCATTTTGAGACTGCCTTGCAATACAGAATTTTCTCACATCTAAGAGTGATGGCATCTTCCTAGAGTTATTACATCCATAGCTGTTCCCAGGTTCTGTTTATGTCATGCAGAAATATAGGCGATTAATTCCTAGAAACCTTTGAAAATGTTTTCTACTAATACAATTTTCAAACTCATAGAAAAAAGAATAAAACTGAAAATTATCCAAGTCTCCGGAAAAAGTCATTGTCAAATGCACTAGCCCAGAGTCTGTTTGCCCTGCGTGCTGGCTTATATCCCAGGTGCCTGCAGACTGCCTTTTCTGGTCCCGTGTCTCCTGATTTTCATCTGGCTTTAGCCGGTGGGAGACACTAGCCACGGATTAGGGAATGGGAAGAAGAGAGAGGCCAGATGGTACAGAGAAGGAATGAGGAGGGGTCGGGGTACAGCGATGGCAGCATCTCTTTATGTATCCAGCTCCCTCCAGACAGGCCCACCGTGGGTCCATTTTCCTGAGGACCCAGCCTCTGGGCTCCAGTAACACTTTTTCCTCCATTTGTACCTCCTGTGGCTTTTGGCTATAGCGAGTTCCTGGGTTACCTCACCACCTCCTGTGTGGATATCTTAATTCTTCATGACCTGTGTAACCAGTTTATTCCCTGCATTAAATCCTCTTGGCTAGATATGCCTGAGTTGTTTCTGCCTGCCGAGTTAGACCCTGACTGATGCACAAGCCATCTTCATTTTCTATTTGGTGTGATTACAAAATAGGCTAAGAGAATGCTGTTGACATACGGTATCTAGATTTCAGCAAGATTTTTGTCAATGTCCTTGTGAACAAAATGGGGGGCATTTAGACTGGGTTATGAATTCTTAGAGTTTATTAATGTTCAAGCCAACCTGATGAAAGGGTTGACACTCCAGAGGTTTGCCAAGAAGGTTCTGTCCTTTGCCATATCCTACTCAACATTATTACCAGTGATTTGGACAAAGACATAAAAAGCAGCTTTATCAAAAGTGTCCACACAACACAAAGCTGAAAGGTAATTTAATTCAGATTTTGGAAGAATAAGCTTTATTAGGAAAAATGGAACATCTTGCATCTAGGTACAAAAAATATAAAGACAAGATGGAAGAGGCCAAGCTTCCCAGTATATTATGTGGGTAGAGAAATCCCGGATTTTAATTGACCACAAGCCCAACAAGCCAGAAATGTGATCTGTTTTTAAAAGGGGGGGTGGGGTGGGGATTTATCTTTGGGCCCCATTCAAAGATTCATGTCCCTGTCAACTGACAAATAGTTCTGCTTCTCATCTAGAGTATCACAGGAAGGCTAGGAACTTCATCTAAGAAAGGTATTGCTAAATTGAAGCGTCAGTGTTCCCCAACCATTGTGAAGCTTTATGCCATTTACAAGTTGTATTCGAGCACATTTGTTCACCTTTGCCTCATGACAGATACTCTAGTGGAGGGTGTACTATCACCCCATTTCTCAGCCTGTATTTCCTCATATGGGTTCAAGTCTAAACTGCGTAGCTCACTGTGTGGCGTTAGGCAAGGACGATACAGTGCTTGGTCGTGGACTCAGCTTATTTCAATAACGCCTGTTCTAACTTCAGAACACCGTGATGCATCTATTGGCTTGTCGGAAAAGTCATGATGTATTTTTTCTACGTTTTTCATTGCAAAAATGCGTCATGACTTTTCCGACAACCCAGTATATAAGAGGGACCCAACTTTTAAAAGGCCGGGAAGCCTTTACACATGTGATAAGCAGTCTAGGGAACCTGGGACATCATGCCAAGAGAAGAGATTTGTCGGAACATAAAGTGTACCTTCCAGGTTTGGAAGTCTGTTACACGCGAGAGAGAGTGGATTAATTTATGTGGTGGCTTCAGGGAACAACTAGGACTGAAGGGTGATAGATTTTTGCTCAATATTTCAAAAATTTCAAACAGAACTGCCTTCTACTGTGGTCACTACTTTTGTGCAAAAAGCTGGATGTCTGACTCTCAGGAATATAGTAGTAAGATGAATTCCTGTGCTGGGAAAAATGTTCAATTAGATAGAACTTCTTGAGTGACACCCAACTCTGAGAGTCTAATTTGTTTGTTTGGGGTTTTGGTTAGTGAGATTTGTAGTTTTTGATATGGAGTTATTTGTTTTATTTTTATAGTTTCCCTTTTAAAAACATAATTGTTTTTCTTGTAATTTAGGATTAACATACTCTGTTTGTGAAAAAACTTCTAAGAGCCAGAAACAAGGAAGGAAAGCATGACTACTGCTCAGTGTAATTAACTTCACAAGAAATATTATGCTATTTCCCGGACTATGTCCCCAAAGTGAATGTCTGCATTTGTTCCATTTCATTCCTAGCTGTAGAATCCTATCAGGGGTGATGAGGAAAATCATTTTGAAATATATTGAAGCAGAAGAGTTTGTAAAGTGTTATTAGGTTTGCTAAGATGAACTTGGGCAAATGCACACTGTTGGCATGTCACTATAAAAACCAGAGCCTAGGTGGTAAAAGTTCCCTAACATGACTTATTAAAGTCCACGAGAGTGATGGTGATTGAAAAACCATAAAATTACCTTGAGGATTCCTTTCTAGCCTTCTTTTCAGAACTAGTATAGTTTCTCTCCTCCCATTGGGATAGTTATATATTCATGAAAGGCTAGGATAATTGAGAAAGGAAAATAAAAAGTATTTCAAAATTAATACAAAACACAGCGAATCTCCCATGAGGGTAAAACATGCAGGAAAGAGTAAATGTATTAGTGTTTCAGAATTAATTTAAGATAACATTTTGCTTTGATCTTATTTCTCGTTAGATTTAATAAAAGGAAGTTCTTAGTCTTCAATAACTACTTGCTGAGGTCTAAAAGTTAATTTGCATGAATTCCTGAAAAAGCTTCATTGGAAACCCATAATATTTCAGATCCTCTCCGTCAGTAATCCGAAGGGCTAGGTACTCTTGTCATGTTCATTAAAAAAAACAAAAAAAAACTTGTACTGTCTACCCCACCTCCACTCCTCCAGTTTCTTCCCAGACTTACTAATCATAACATAATTCTCATGGAAGAATTCGAGAGACATTGAAAGTTCTAAGGGGGAAAAAAATGAGAAAAGAGCATCTGATATTCAATGTACTATCCATTTAAAAAATTGAATTTGAAAAATGAATTTTACAGATGTTAATGATTTCTGACAACTTGCCATTTAATAAAATAGTGCTTTTTCTCATAAAACACATCAGTTTCCTACTCATGTACTTGATTTGGGAGCTTACCAAGCCCTAGTACTCTTTTTTCCTCTAAGTTGCTTAATGCAAAGTAGATAAAATAAGTAATGTTTAAGACTTCTTGTGCTGCCCTGCATGGTAAGTTTCTCCTTTAGTGTCCTATATGTGAAATTTTGGGAATTTAAAAACTTAACCAAATTGCTGCCAGGTGTTTTTTGGTATTCACAATTTTTCTGATTTTAGGAAAATAATACAGCCTATGTATCTTACACTGTGCAGTTAATTACCTGAATGCATATTCAGATGCGTGAAGCTTCTGGTAGCAAAAGTATATGAATAGTCACATTAAGTGAGATACATTAAAATATTCAGTGGTTTCACATTAGTTCTGGTTAGAATTTTCAGCCAAGTACGTTTGGATACGATTGAGTTTGCCACCAAGTGAGTTTAAAAAACAAAGCAAACAAAACAAAAAAACACCACCACTTAGTTTTCAGAGCTTTTGTGATCTTCGATGTGTTATCAGCATTTGTGGACCTATAAAGATGTGTTCATTAACCAAAACCTTCTGTAGTGGTTTATTGAATCAAGCGGGCAGGTGGAAATTATTGCTGTTTTTCTCATTTCCCCAAGAAAAAAGAAAGAGCAAACATCTGAACAGAGTTTGGGGATGACTTACTGAGTACTGCCAGAAATAGTCTTAGGCCTCTCAGAATCCTCGGAGACAACTATTCTCATCATTATTTACACAGGCAACAGAGGAGTAAGATGACTCGTTCTAGGTACTGAGTTAGCAAATAGCAAAACTAAGACTCAGACTCAGGTCTCTCAGCTCTGGATCCCATTTTCCTTTTATCAAGTCATGTTTTCATAGGAAAAGCTTCAGACGAAGATGGAAAATGAGAACTCGGGCATTTGCTTCCCTAGAGTTTAACGACTATATCATAAATGCCTGAAGCCTTTTATTAATTTGCATCATTTAAGTTAGTTTGGCGGAAGTGGACTGATCATTGTAAAACTTGAAATTTGTTTTGATTATTTAAAGTGGGTATCATTTAAAAGTTTAAGCTAACTTCGAGTATGGATGGAATAATAAGGATGTTTTTTGTTGTTCTCCCATTTTTGTTTTGACTGTTCAGATGTGTCTGGCCTCAGAGGGGATGAAAATGGAAGAATCCAAGCTCATAAAAGCAAAAGAATCAGATGGGGGAAGAATTAAAGAATTGGAGAAGGCAAAGGAAGAAAGAGAAATAAAAATGGAGAAAACAGATGAAGCCAGGTTACAGAAGGAAGCAGAATTTGAAAAATCAGCAAAGGAAAATGCAGGAGATGCTAAGGAATTAAATTTTGAGCAGCTGCAAATGGATGATGCAATGGCTGTAAAAATGGAAGATCCCAAAGAAATTAAAAAGGAAGAATTAGACGAAGATCAAAAATGTAGTCACTTCCCTGATTTTTCTTACTCTGCCAGCAGCAAGATAATAATAAGCGATGTTCCCAGTAGAAAGGATCACATGTGCCATCCTCATGGAATTATGATCATTGAGGATCCCACATCATTAAATAAACCAGAAAAGCTAAAAAAGAAGAAGAAGAAGAGCAAAATGGATCGACACGGCAATGATAAATCCACCCCCAAGAAGACTTGCAAAAAGAGGCAGTCCTCCGAGTCTGACATCGAGAGTGTCATATATACCATTGAAGCTGTTGCAAAGGGAGACTGGGGCATCGAAAAACTTGGAGAAACTCCTCGCAAGAAGGTCCGCACATCCTCAAGTGGCAAGGGAAGCATTTTGGATGCCAAGGCACCAAAGAAAAAAGTGAAATCAAGAGAGAAGAAAATGTCAAAGGAGAAATCCTCAGACACCACCAAAGAGTCCAGACCTTCAGATTTCATCAGTGTTTCTGCCAGCAAGAACATTCCTGGTGAGGTGCCAGAGGGTATAAAAGCAGAACAGTTGACCCCCACAGAAGATGCACTACCACCCAGCCTGCCAGCACAGACCAAGACTGAGGACGGCGACTGTCCCAGAAAAATGGAGACTTGTGGCTCCCGGAAATCGGAGCGGTCTTGCAAAGGTGCTCTTTATAAAACCCTGGTGTCTGAGGGCATGCTCACCTCTCTGCGAGCCAATGTGGACAGAGGTGAGTGACCTCTACCCATCTGAAAAGAATGTGGAAACCTAGCAGAATTTCTCCTTTAGACCTATTGAAAAGAACCACCATAAAGAACAACATAGTATCAAAATCATATTTTACATTTGTATGGTTCTTTATGGTTTATAGATTATAAACATTTGTCACCTTGCCCACATGTTTTCTTGTGCCATTGAGAGTTTGCTTTCATTTTATAGGTAGTTTTCTGGTAGTGAAGTAATTCGAACTTTTTTTTGTTTGTTTGTTTTACACTGGTATAGGCTGGCTCTTTTTGTTTTGAAGGATCAGTATTGCATGTTTGGAGCTCTTAATCTGGTTTTTAAAACCTACGGAAAGAATTTCCTGAACCAAGCAGATGTGTTTGGCAGAATCCTGACCTGTAGGCTCCAGAAGCAAATAACTTATCTGTCCCGTTCCATTAGATAATCAGAACTATAACTGAAGTGAAGGCTCGTTAAAACGTAGCCCTACCCAGAAGCCAGTTAATGGGTATACCTTTATTCCATAGAGTATTTCATATAATTCATCTGTTTTAAAATACAGCATCTGGCTAGGGGATTACCTTATGCTAAGCTAAATCCCAACTGGAGATGTGTGAATAATAGGTCTAATAAGCCCTGAATGAAGATCCTTGGAAGTAATGTAGTTCTCCAGGGATGTCATTCCAATAAATCTTGGGTAATTAGAATTAACAGTGCCCAACAACGAAGGGCTCCCGTACATTAGGCTGACTCTGTAATGGAAAAGCTAACAGTAGTTGATCTTTCTCTGGAGTCGCACAATACTTGTTGAATTATGACAACTTCTCTCAGAGGCTGTAAGTCCCTTTTCTGCATGTTCTGTTATTAAGCGTGGCCCATCATGAATCACTGAGGACTCTGAAATAGTTATCAATAGCCTCATGCCAGTGATACCTAAGGGTCAAGAAGTCACTTGTGAAGCAACTAAAATGATTTCCCTCCCATCCCAATGTACTAAGTATATCCTTTCCCCTGAATGTCATTAGGGAAACGAAGCTCAGGAAAAGGAAACTCTTCTGATCATGAAGGGTGTTGGAATGAGGAAAGCTGGACATTTAACCAGAGCGGGACCAGTGGGAGCAAGAAGTTCAAGAAGACAAAGCCAAAGGAAGAGCCCCTCCTTGGGTAAGTGCCTGCGAGACAGCGGACCGCACTGCACAGACCCCACCTGTGGTAGGATTTTCACAGCAGACACAACTCTAACTGCTTATTGCTTAAGTATCCATGCAGCACTTCCTACACTCGTAGTAAACACATGAGGGAATACTAATCGAATGTGTCACGTGATTCCTGCTATTAACATGGTTGTGAGAGTGACAGTGTCATTCACATTGTAAGTATCGGGCATCAGGCTTAGGTCCTGAGTTTGAATTGAAGTCCACCCTGTGTTTGTGGTGTGACATTATTGTAAGTCCTTTAGTATTGTCAGAACACATTTTCCCATCTGAAGTTTATGATGGATATTATGTAATTTTGTAAGTTTGTTTACGTTTTGCCCATTTTACACACTGTATATACTTCCTTTAGTAATTCTGAAGGCATGTACATATATTTGTAAAATAATAACAGCTGAAATCTGTTTAAAGGTAATAAAATCAAGTTTCTACCGCTAACCTTGTTTTGTTTAAACCGTGTTCTGTTGCTCTAAGGTGAAAATATTAGATTGGTATGGAGAATATTCATTAATTAATTATACATTGAAATGCAGGATCAGGCAATAGCATCCATCATGATAAAATCATTAAGAATTATTTCATTTTATGTATTGCCAAACACTCTTAATACCAATCTTAATAAAAGGCATTTTGCAAGTGAAGTTAGGAGATCCAGTACTTTATATTGATGAGGAGAGCATCTGAATATTCAGTTGTACTGTTTTGAAAATCCTTTGAGATTTCTCTTAGCCCAATTTGAAAAGAACACATTGAAAAGAAATAAATACATATTTATATTTTCCATATTTTTTCATAAGCGTGGTTTAAGGTATGCAAATTTTATGCATTGGGAATATTGCATTTGGTCTATTCATAAATATTTGCGTTTCTGTTTGTGGAATAATATGTGTTTTTGCCTTGGATGTTACAGTGCTTCAAAGTCTGGCTAATTCTAAAGCTCTCGGTCATCACAAAGTGGGGGAGGGTAGAAATTATTTCTCGTGTTGATGATTTCTCAAGATTATTTATATATCTAGATGATATATTTATAATTTGACACATTTTCTTGCTAATATTTTTAAAAGTCCAGAGTAGTTCGGATTAGTTTTGCTTACATTATGCTTCAACAGATGACATGAAAATCCTCACATTTGTCATCGTTAAATGATACTTTCAAATGCAGAATTTCCCAAAAAAGTGACCACTGAGCGCCAGGACCAGTACTTGTGTGTCTGAATGGCAAAAGAGGAGCAGGTCTCAGAGCAGGCAGTGTGAAGTCCTATGGGAGTAACGCAGGCCTGAAGGTTCCCCACCAGAAAGCTCTGTAATGCTTCCATCAGAAACTGCTGAAGCTGTGAGAGAGAGGTTTTCACCAGTTGTCTTGGAGGAACAAGAACAGTGAAACAATCTTTTGAAAATCTGTCCCTGAAAAAAGATTGCTGTGTGGGGTGTTTTTGTTTTTGTTTGTTTTTGGTTTTTTTTTTACATCATTTCTAAGGAGCCATATGTATAGAACTGGGAGTGTGGTATTCTACAGGCTTAAATCAAGAGTACACTTCCGGTCTTTTCCTCATTTTTCCACTTTAAATAATAGCCTGTCAGAATCAGACTATATGGGTTTGCCTTGTTTAGAACTTGCCGACATAGTACATGAGCCGTGAGAAATGCCAGTTCCTGTCAGTCTTCTCTGCGATGTCTGAGCATTTTAAACCTTTTTATTGCAGAAAATGTGCTACCTGTTTTGTTAACTGTAGCCAAGAAAAATTCACTCAGTATTGGCAGTTCTAATTTTACAGATTTATCCAGGAAAAAATATAGGCGATTATTCTAGTTGCAAAGAGGAAAAAGAGTCCCAAGGGACCTTAGGAGTTACATCTTGCATTTTCATAATTTTCTTTTGGTTATACAGCATATCTGAAAAAAATCACAGCTTATAGATAGCTTTCTGATACATATAATTAGAATCAGATGATAGCTGATTTTCCATTAGTATACACATATTTTTAACTGAGCACAGAAAGATGATTTTATTAAGGGGGAGCATCACCCCTATCCTCCACCCTTTGCAGCTTTGATAAACTTAGTAATGGCCTTTTTCTGTTGACCGTTCTGATGTTTATCTGACTACTTGATCTCTGCTCCCCAACTCTTCTGTTTTACGTTCCTCCAAAACTGAGAACAGTTGTAGGTGGGCACATGTCAGGTACATCCCCTAGGTAGCATCCTAACACAGTAGCTTCTTCTAAGTTGCTGCTCAGAGCTGCTGTCCTCCCAGGACGCCTTCCGTTTCCCATCCACCTAGCAGCGCGATTCTCCTGCAGCTTCTCCCGTCTGTTTGGGTTGCATCTGAGTTAATAAGTCTCACTATAAATGAAAGCCAGCAGCCAGGCTGGCATCCAGCAGGTGTGCTGCCATTGCTGTATGAGGGCCATAGCAACAGTCAAAAGCAACCCAAGATTTCCCAACTTTGCTGGTGGCATTTCTGAAGTCATGTGTGGTTTGTGTTAAAGCAGTGTCGCCTCTCTGCCAGTGAAAAACCTGGCTTTACTTTTTTCCCTGAGTGTCTTATCTTCATCCTGGTCAGCTCTCCAGAATGTTTTTCTAATATTCAAAATATTTGTTTGAGTTTTCTCTGTGTGTGTATGTTTTAAAGTACTCGTCAATAAATACTTTAAAAAAAAATCTTACAAAATTACCAATATACCGTATTACCAATAAGCTTGCCAGTACAGGTACATATATATGAGTCTTTCGAACGAGATTCTTGTCTGGGTGGAATATGCGTTGTGTTGAACTTAATGAAAAATTCCCATGCCAGTGGAGAGAATGGCCAATTCTACACTTCAAAAATATTCGGCCATTTTAAATAACATTTCTGCTTTTCTAAGGTAATAGGATAACATGTTATGTGAGTTTACTAAGAAAACTATTTTGGTAAATCCTCTCAAGCATTTCTGAAAAGATGGTTTTTTGTCCTTGCATAGAATTTATTAATAGTACCCTAATTCTCAGGGACTCTGTTTTCAAAAGAAACATCTTAAAATATATCTTGTATCGCTTTTCTATGTAAATATTCATATCATGTGCTGATTGATTACACCTCTTCTCTTTTATTAGCTCAGCAAAGCTGGATGAAGAATTTGAAAAAAAATTCAACAGCCTCCCTCAATACAGTCCTGTTACATTTGACCGGAAATGTGTATCTATCCCAAGAAAAAAGAAGAAGACTGGAAACATGCCCTCAGAACCGACTAAAACCAGCAAAGGTTAGATGTGTGCTCTGCCTTCCTGCAGTCTGTTCAGAATCTCAACTGAACCCTCTTCTAAGCATCTGCAATTCCCGTTAGATATGTAATCGGATTTCGATTGAGGCAGTAGCAAGTTGGAATTTCAGGTTGCTTTCCAAGATTATCTTGGTTCCTGCCTCATTTGTCTCTCCCTTCTTTCCTTCCTAATTCTCGTCAGCCTCTGTCCTTTGGCATCCCAGCCTATACATTTGCCCTGAAAAGTGTAGCTTTTTTGGAAGTGTTACGCATAGGCTTTGACCCTCTGCTCTCCAGAATTCTAATTCGGAAATGTTGAGCTTTTCTTGAGCAGAAACTGCTGGCTGAGTCTAATTCTTCCGTTCCCTGTGTCTGCAACAGGTTGGACTCTGGGACTGTGTGAAATCGTCCTATTTGCCGAATAAGCAAACTCCATTCTTTACTGACAGTATGAACGAAATGAAAATAAAATTCCCCGTAATACTCCAGCAATATTTTTTTATTGGTTTTGTTATATTTAGAAAAATGCTATGTTCAGCATGTTCGTTTTCAAGAATATTAGATTCTCCCCTGTGTTTATCAGGGAAGCTTTTAACATTTGTCAGGGGCACCACTGTAGTCCCAAAGGGGAGCTTTAAAGAATGTGGGGCACATTCAGTGGTCTCAACACCTGGGACCACTGTTATATTTGTGAGACGCAAGGGCTGGGGTCCTAAACATCCTAATCTACTAAGGACATTCAAGCACAATGAAGGATGGTCCTACCCAAAATGACAATACTGCTCCCATTGAGAAACTTGTCTGTTATTTTTACTTTAGGTCTAAAGGTGGTTGGGCAAAATTTACCTCTAGTTTTCCACACAGATAAGAAAATCTTCATTCTGGGTCAGCTCTCCTGTAAGGACAGGGAATGGAGAGACGAAGAACTGGACTGGCCAAGCTTTTGTTGCTTTTAAGATCAAATTCTGAGCAGGATTTGCGGGAAGACTTCTAGTAATTACCCTGCAGAACTGGCTGCCTGTTGTCTGCTTTATGTCAAATCAGATTAATTCTCTTTTGTGTATTTTGGATAGATGGATGGATGGATGGATGGATGGATGGATTTTGGATGGATGGATGGATGTGGGTGGGTGGGTGGATGGGTAGGTACAATACGATATACATCAACACATAAATCGGGCTAAATTCTAGCAATGATGGATAATGGTCATAGACAAGTTAATGAAGAAATACAATTTCATGGATTTTGAGGCAATATCTAAGGAAACTTATGGCTTCTTTGAAGAAACCTAAACCTTTCTCCCTCGAGACCTAAAAACCCCTTTGTGTGCTGGACCTGATGCAGCCGAGGAGGGTCACTTTGAGAGCTGTATCTTAGGATAGCTCTGAAAGGCTGAAGAAAATTCCCCCTCTGTGATTAAAGGCAGAGGGGAACATAAAAGTGATTTTAGCTTAGTTCTCCTCTGTGGTTAATAAAAACAAACCTAGTGAATATAGGTCTAAAAAAAGAAATGTTGGATCACCAAGTTTACTCATCTGGGAAAATAATACAGGGTTGTATCGCAATCTTCCAAGATAGGTAGGGAAGAAATCCAGTAGCCTTGTTGACAGGTATGTGGCTGAACACCGTAACGGATCGATTACCAGAGGAAATGATAGTCGCTGTGCCCTAGAGATGTCTAGGAATAGGCAGAGGAGTCCATGAGCCCAAACATGCCAGGGCTCTTGAGCGCCCATAATTCTTGGATTTCAAGTTGCTGATGAATACCTGACAAACCAATAAAATGGAACTTGATTGATTGATGTGCAGGATGTGTTCTCCTCCGCTCCTGTAGTTTGAGACATTCATTTTAGAGCTCTGGAGATGGCCAAATTATCTATCAAGAAATGTAACAATAGATTTATTTTTGCAAAGCTGTAAAATCCCCCGATGTTAGGATCTGTTTTCGTGAGACCTCCTCTTGGGTCTTAGTTGCCTGCTGTATGTTTTTTTTTCTCTCTCCCAACTAGGATTAACAGTATTTCTTTTGATGTGAAATAGCTTTCTGGAGTTTTGGATTATACTTAATACATCATCTTAACTCCTCCATTATGCCTCTCAAGCCACAAAGTCACGGGTTCTTATACGGTATTGTTAGTAATTATGCAGGTGGGCAGTCTTTAAAGACATGAGAGTTTGCTCTGCATTCCAACTCATGGAGCAAAATGTAATTGATATAAAGCAGAAATTAATATATTCTCTATTTAGCAAACTAAAGAAATCGTATTTGTGACTGATTGTAATTTGGCATCAGCAACACCACTGTACTATCCTGCAAGTTATTAATGAAATTATCATACCAGCTGTGCTGTAATTGCCTGATCTTTAGAGGATAGAGGAGCTTGTTTCCTTAGACTACAGCCCTTTGCATCTTTGCATAATAACCTTTCAAAGCAAACACTGTGGATGAGATCATTAGTTCATTAGTAAAAGAGCATGTGTCCATAGGAAACCTCCTTTTCCTCCAACAAGTCACCATTTGTCTATATTTTATTTTCTCCACATTTGTTATCTTTCAACATTCATTATATTTCTTTTCTGCCTTATACGAGGTACTTTTTTAGTAGCTACTGCAGGTTATATAAAACATATAGAACTTTTGTAAAATGTAATTTCTAGAGGAAATGATTATGTATGCATTTATACAGGTAGTTATACATCTCAGAATCAGTATTTGCTTGGGTTTACACTTCTGTTTTCTCAGTGGTCTCCTTATTTATATCTGTGTTTCTGACAGTCTATTCCCCTTTCTCACTGGCCCCTCCACTCTCTCTGCCCTGTCCCTTATGTCTATGTAATAGGTATTGTCAGAAACTAATACATACAAGGATGAAGATAACTAAATGCCACCTTCTCCAACTGGGCCCAGGCTATGTTGTAGTAGAGAAAACACAATGACTTAGGAATAGAATTTCCCTTTGCCTCTTAAGAATAAATTATTCAGTAAATTATAATCCATCTAACTTACAGTGCAATTCAGCTGAAATAGCCCATGCCTCCATGTTTCTGGTTTATCTCTCATAGCTACTTGTATATATTCAAATGAAAGCCTTAAATTATAAGTCTAAATTTAATTGTAGCTTCGTAAGAGATTTGTTTTGACACTTTATTTTAAGTATCCTGTTAATGTATGAAGCACTTTTTACAAAAGTGTCAGAAGTCAAGAGTGCTCTGCAAAATAGTAATTTTCAGACGACATAGGGTCATGGAGGAAAAGTTAATTGAGTTCAATTTAGAGTGTTTAAATTATGCCCCCTTTGACCCTTGACTTCACTCTTTCTCCTTTATCTTTCGTATCCTCTCACATTGTTTCTTAGCCCATTTTCACACATACTGTTGGCCTTTCTCATGTTTTTCCAGTCCACACCTATGCTTTGAGATTGGAATTTCAGATGGTTAAGGACTTGAGTTTTTAAAAATCACAGTGGTAATAAAAGAAGCAAGTTTGTAAAATTTAAGGTGGAGGACAGGATTGAGCCAACCTGAAGGTACTTTCAGTGTAAAAGACCTGAGATCTGCTGTTAGCCAGGGTAGCCTTTCCTGTCAGGAAGTTACAGCTTCCAGGTTGGGCGGAACTCTGTATTTTGTCCTGTAATTGTCTGAGAGTCTTCATTGCCACCAGACATTTTCAGGAATGTGGTGACAGCACCTTTGCAGATATACAGGGTGTACCTAATATAATCCTGAGTTCCTTAATAAGGCATGCATGTCCAGCCAATGAGGTGGCTCCTACCCCTCGATGAATTCTAATGTGGTTGTGGCTATTTTACTCAAAACTTGTGCAGGTCAGCAGAGCCACATGCCCAGCAGCTGGGAGCACTTGGCTATAAATTACCTCAAAAGAATTTATTGTTTCACTGGTTATTCATTACTTACATGTCCATTACAAAAATGACAGCCTCGTTTTAGAAGAAAAACCTCTGCTCTTTTTATAGCTTGAAAACATGAAACTGTAGAAATGGGGCATAAGCCACCACCAGAGGTGTGATGCCTAATATTTTGTTTCCTATGACAGTGCTAAAGAGCAAGGTTCATTTAATTCACCTTACCTGCTGACCTTGAAGAATTATCATACCAGGCTAATATTGAACGGGCTCCTGTGTCACGATAGCTTTTCAACCCGCCCCTCCCTCCCAAAGAAAGTATTTTTCAGCAAACTATAAACATTAATGTTTGGAAAGGTTATTGTTAAGGTATCCATGGTACCCCTCTTATCCTCAGATTTTTTGTCTCTGCTATATTCTACCCAGCTTGAAGTGTGTGTGTGCAAAGGAGACTGATACCTTCAAACACAGGCCGTCCTGCCCCCAAACATCCTAAGCTAGTGTACATGCCAGCAACAAGTGATTTAGTCATAAGGAAGCGAGGGCTGATGCAGACATTCTTCACAAGAAATTTGGTAGGAAAATGAGGGACAGATGGGAGGGAAACTTGAGGCGGTATTTTAGTGAAAGATAGTTGCAAAGATTCTTTGCTTTCTGAATAGATCCTTTTAAAACTGTTTTCTCTGCTTTTCATGTCCTACCTTCTTTTCCCTGCATGGAGTCTTAATATTAATAATAAGGAAAAACTGGTATATTTGCTGTTTATTACAAATTTTGACTATTTTCTTTCGACAAAAGAGCAAACATATGTACCATAATGGTGGGGAGAATTCAAGTTTGTTCATTTCTTGATTCTAAAATTGCTGCTTTTCAGTGACTACAATTACATCTTATCTATTACTCCTTTAAGTTTGTCGCTTTCCTTTTAATCTGAAGTTATTGACTTAGATTTGTTTTATAGCTATAGTTTGGGGTGGCCAGGAGCAAGGAAGTTTACAATTAAAAGTTTACAGTAGTTCCTCTGTATATTAAACAATTCTGGGTGTTCTTTTTTCATGTTAAAATTGACAAGCTCTAGCTTAAGCTTTGTTTTTAAAAGTTTGTACTTTTTAGATTTTTTTGAGTATGGTTGTTGTCTGAAAATACGTATCCTTTTCTTCTTTCCTAACCCATTGCATACATCGGTCAGTTTGCTTCTGTGAACCACTGCCTCATACACAGTGATGTGTACAGATATCATTCTCCCTATGAGCCAATTCCTTATTAATTATTTTCCTACAGGTAAATTATTAGGGTCCTTATGGTTCTGAGAAGTCCCTGAATTGTTTTTTCTTTTTTTTCCTCTCTTTTCTGTGATCGCCCATGTATCTATCAGTCAGGCGCACTAGCTTGCAGTTTCTTGGGTTGTATAAAATATGTATGAGGCAGCAATTGTAAATGGATTATAGAGAATACCTGTAATATTAGTGCAGTGTGTACACATGATATATTTTCTTCATATTTGTTAAATTTATTTCCTTTCCTTATTGCTCACTTTTTCGAAAAAAAGAAAAAAAGTCAACAAGAGTCATTTTCTATTATATTTCCAACCCGCATCAGCCCATTCAGAAGAATTTGCTATTGGTTATTTAGAAGGATGCCTTGGCCTAGTCATCAAAAAACATTTGCACAACTTTATGTTATCAGTAATAACGGCAACAACTGTCATTTCTTAAGCTCTTCCTTTGTGCCAAGCAGTGGTTTTTTAGAGCTTTATTTGTTGATGCAACAAATATCGAAAACAAGTCATGTGCTACGCACCATTCTAGACACGTAGAATGTATCTGTGATTGAAATCTAAGAACCCTGCTGCCATGGTGGTTACATTACGGTGGGGGTACCGAACAATAAACAAGCCTAAACAATACACAAAGTATATAATGTATTAGAAGGCGAGAAGTGCTATGAAAAAAAGAATTAGTTTGATAGAACAACTGGGCAAAAGATCAACAAGGAAGAAAAGGGCTTCAACATTATACACCAGTTAGACCTAATATATATATTGAACACTCCACCCAACAATAGCAGAATATACACTCTTCTCAGGTACACATGAAACAGTCTCTAGAGTGTACCATATGCTAGTCCATAAAACAAACCAATACATTTAAAAAGATTGAAATAATTCAGATTATGCTTTCTGACTGCAGTGGGATGTAATTAAAGCTCAACAGCCAGAAAAATTTGGGAAACTCATATATGTGTGGAAATTAAACAGCACACTCTATAAATAACCAATGAATCAAAGAAGAAATTAATAGGGAAATCAGGCAATACTTTGAAATGAATAAAAATGAAAATACAACATACCAAAATTTATGGGATACAACTAAGACAATGCTTAGAGAGAAACTTGTAGCTATAAGTGCATATTAAGAAAGATCTCAAATCAATGACCTAACCTTTTACCTCGAGACACTGTAAAAAGAAGAGCAAACTAAACCTAAAGGAAGTAGATGGAAGGAAATAATAAAGATTAGAGAGGAAATTAATGAAATGAAATGAATTAAAGAATAATCCAACAATAGAGAAAATCAATGAAACCAACCAAAAGCTGGTTCTTTAAAAAGATAAACAATTTTGAGAAATATACAATAGCTAGAATGACGAAAAAAAAAAGAGAGAGAGAGAAGACTCAAATAAAAGAAATACTATGAGCAATTATATGCCAATAAATTAGATAACCGACATGAAGTAGACAATTCTTGGAAAGACACAAACAACTGAAACTGACTTAAGAAAAAGTTGACAATCTGAATAAACCTGTTAACTAGTAAAGAGACTGAATTTAGTAATCAAAAAACTACCAGAAAAAGAGAGCCCAGGCCCAGATGGCTTCACCACTGAATTCTACCCAACATTTAAAGAAGAAATTAATACCAGGTGGGTGGGTAGATGCAGCAGGGGCAGTTAATAGAGCTTCTAACTTTTTTAATCCTCACATCAAGCCTATGACTTAGGCACTATTATTATTCCCATTTAAAGATGAGGATACAGAAGTTATGTAAAATAGTTAAGTCCATTTCACACAAGAGTATCAGCCATGTATAGAAATAACCTCCTTTGGGGAGGTCAGTGCTACTGTTGGCATTTCTGATGGTGACTGAAAAATCTCACTGCCGTTTTCTTAATCTAAGAAAACTAAGATGCCATCTGAGGCTTCTCTCTCTCCTCCCCCTCCAACAGAAAAAAAAAGTTTTTTGGCCAATATTTTTCTCTTTTTGAAATCGCTTTTTTCTTCCTAGAATATCCTCAGAAAAGGCTAGAAAGTTATCTAATGCTATCAGGCCAACCATTGTCCTGAAAGTGCTGTCATTGGGAACTAAGTTTCTGAGAAGCGATGAAAATGCCCATGCCCTCCTTCTCTTCGTGATATTTAGGAATTTAAAGTCAAAATGTCTTCGCTACAGACTACAGCTACGCTGCCTTCATTAGTTGTTGTCTGTCTCTAGTCTCTAAATCTGCAGTTTCTGCTGAGGGAGCTGTAGCCCTAATGGAGGCTTCTGCCCAATACATTTCAAAGGAAAATCTCACTGGCTTTTATCTAAGCCTAAAGAAGGAGGCTGAGCACTCGTTCAGCGAGTAACGATGCAAGATATTTCTGGGGGCTCAGTGTGCTTATTCCACAGGTGGGAGGAGGGGTGTAATTACTTAGAAACACACAGTGTTGTTTTGTGGAACATTGTGGATTTAAAATATATATTTATATTAATATTGCCTGTAGGTCCTTTCCAGTGTCAGAAAAAGAATTTATTCCACAAAATTGTCAGCAAATATAAGCACAAAAAGGAGAAGCCTAATGTTCCCGACAAAGGTATTGGTGCCGTCCATCCTCCATTAAGGCTTCCTGGCCGCCTCCATTGTGAATGCATCCTTCAATAATGCTTCTGTCACCGCCTTGGCCTCGTCCTGCCCTTTGCTTGCTTCCCTGTCATCAGTTCCTCATGCAGGCTTATCGTTATTTCTAGATTCCGCAGCTAATTGCAAAGAGAGATCTCCTCTGCTTGGAATTTTACTCAAATCCCATATTCATCTCTATTTTCAGAGTTCCACGTGAAACCAAAAATTGCTTTTTCTCGTCTGTATTTTGGCGCATTTTGCAGTTTCATCTTCTTGAGCTCTTCCCTACTTATTTTCTTTGACTTTTCTCGATTTCTCCTGTTTGGCAGCCTTCATACCAGGACCCCATTTTCGTACCTCCTGAAACCTTTACCAGTTTCACATTCGTATAAAAGTCCACAGTTTCTATACTTCCTCTGATGCTTGTGGATTCTTGTCAAGGAGGATTCCACTCCTAAGTCATAACCTCCCTCTTTTTTTTCTACCCCCATCTCTCTACGTCATCGTTTGCCAGACTCTTCTCCGTACCTCCTTCAGCTACAAAACTGATATTTGCAGAGGGCACTAGAGATGTATTGCTCTCTACTCTCCCGGAACTCTGAACATCTGTCTCATTGTTATGATCTTGATGGGCCCTTGAACCTCTTCAGGGCTCACCTGAAGGTGTTATTCTTCTCCTACTGGTTCAGGACTCCTACTCTTCTTTCACATAAAAGACAACGCTCCCCATCTGGTTCAGTGCAGCCACATGTCCTGGGAGTCAGACTTTGTTTAGCATCTCCCTGCATGTCAGTGTCGTGACTACCATGAGCGTACTCATCCGATGCCTGTTTGCATCCTACTTGCATGGCCAGATGTGAAGCCTGTCATGTTTCTGGAATGAGGCTTTACATGCAGCTGTCTCCCATGTGCGGACATATTGCCTACGTGTTCCTGTATGTAAACCTTTACTTAATTTGGGTTTTATTTGCACCTCCCCCTTGGCCTCTTAGTTTTGTTCTATATGTTAATATTTTTTCCCCCCTTCTGCTTCCAGTGGAAAAACATCACTCTTTAGGTAAAATGTCAGCTTTTATCATTCCCTGTTAATTGAGCTTCAGATTTTTTTGATTAAAGTCATGGAAATTCTCCAACAATGTATTTCATAAAAAGCAACTTTATTTTTAATCCATTTCCTATGTAGCCTAGCATTTTAGTTGACAGATGCAGTTTTGAGAATAAATAGTTGAAATAAAATTCTGCTTCATTTGTGTGATAATGCTTTTTATTTAAGTTGTTGTGCATATCGTCTTATTTTTATGGTGTTTGTATTTATAGTAGGAGTAGAGTTTCACTTTCCTTTTCTGTCATTGCTTTTAGGAAGTGGGGATAAATGGTCAAACAAGCAATTCTTCTTGGATGCCATTCACCCTACAGAAGGTAAAAGAAGCAATATTCACTGTATCATTTCAGGTTGTCTGCACTGAAAGTGGCATGATTTTTATAGGTTTAAAAATGGCACCATTTATATAGGCGCAACCAATAGCATTAGACCGGAGTGTTCATAATCGGATTATTTTAAATTTTTAAATCAAAAGTGATACATTTTTTATCCTGCTAAGGATCCAGGACTGTCTCCTGTGGAGTTTAATTTGTCAGAGGGGGATTTGTAACCTTCAAGCCACATGAACTAGATTTTTCATAATTATACTTAGCGTCAGGGTTCGTGTTGCAGGCACATGCTTCTGGGAGCAGAATTGGCCCACGCTGGGCTGTGTGGGTTGGCTGGGTGTGGGCAGACCTGTGGAAGTGGTTCCTGACCTGAACTTTCTCCCAGCCCTCATCCCTTACCTCTAAGTCTGTCCCAGACGAATGCCCCTGAAGCTTATGTAGAGCCAAAGAAAAGCCCTGTATTGACTAGTACAATGTGGTAGGTCCTAGGTACTGATGTTATTTCAAAATGTCTCACAATCATATTTACTGGTGATGTCACCTAATTTCTATTAAATATTGATCCCTCAGGTGAACACTTGTTTCTGTGATGGTTAACGGGCCACTCTTCCCTTCTTCCCACTAAGTCCCTGTTTTCTGTTGTAGATATGTTTAAAGAGCTAACCATTTCTGTAGTGCTTAATGAGGAATTGGTTAATTTGAAAACGACCAGGGATCTTAGAGCCGTCTCATTCAGCCCCTTTGATTTCCTTATGGCCAGAAAGGGGAACTTAAGGAACCCTCCACTTTTCTTGACTCCCAAATACACTCTCATCCTTTCACTAAAAAGGAGGAAAAAAATTAAAATGCACATTCAGCCTAAGTCACTTATCAAGAATACTCATGTTTCAAAGATATGTATCAAAAATATTTAAATTTGAGTTTATTGTATACACGGAATTTTTCTGTTTGGTAGGCGCAGGTCACATGAGCCATGTGTCTGCTTTCCCGTGGTTTCCTTTTACAAAAAATACCAGCAGCATATCTGTTTTCTGACCTGTTATTGCACATTAATAACCTCTATGTAGAGCATTATTTCTACACTTAGCTAGCAAAACAAAATATGAATTGTTGTGCTGCTCTCAGCATTAAATCCTCACATCTCAAAATTAATATACATTAGCTCTTGTGTATTTTAAAAATATATTCTACACAGATTTGATAAATGTAAGGCACTGATGAACTACAAGAGGAATCCAAAAGAGGTTTTTAGGAACATGTTACTCTTTTCTTAAAATGATACTGTTCCAAATATTTTGTTTTTTTAATAATAAAACCCTTCCTCACATAAAATGAGGTATCGTAGCATGTGCAGTGTGGTAGAAAGAATGAATTAGGTAGGAATTAGGAAACCTGGGTGCTAGTCTCAGATCTGCCACTAACGAGCTTTTTTCAGGAGGACAAATTGTTTAACCTCACTAGGATTCACCCTCCATGTTGGTACCAAGTGTGTACGTAATACGTGTATTTAGGGATGGGGCGAGTGATGAGATGTAGTAATACATGAGCCGTAAATTTCATTTCCCCTCCAACACTTGATGATTGGGTATTATTGTGATATGCTGAAAGTATGATATTCTGAAGCCCCAATGTTCTGCCCTTTGGGGGGCCGAAAAACAAGTCGATTTTGAGTTTTCTAGGCAGTCCCAAAGGTTTAGTTGGAAATAGAGTTATTATTGGTGATATTTAATTATATTTATTATTAATGTATATAGAACAAAACTTTGCAGGACATGCACTGAAAATTGCATGTCCAATGAATTTCTAATTCATTTTACGTGGCCAGGGAAACAGGAATCAGTTTGAGCATTGGAAATTACTAGTAATTTAAAATGACCTTTCTTTTGTGACTTATTTTCATACCATCCCCGACATTTACATGTTCGGGTGGTAACTATGTGCTTTGTGAATTATCTAAGCCCTTTACTTCGTCCTCCCTCTCACCTGTGGCCACGTCACTGCTTATTTAGACTTTACCTTTAGTGTATAAATATAAAAGGACAGAAAATGAAACCATATTCAGGATAATTTTAACATGTGTAGGCCACCCTAGGCAAAGGTTAGACAGGAGCTGTGTGCAGCTGATGTCTATGATAGAAACGTTGATTCAGTTGAGGCTATGCAGCTGTTCGCTGCTCCTGACTTCTGTTAAAGTGAATAACTTAAAGTTCACTATGCTTTCTTTACAGCACCCCAAGTATAATTGGCTTGCAACTCATATTTTTTTCAAAACATCAGAAATCTTTAGGTGTTTAGTAATCACATCTGAGATTTAAATGCTAAGCTTCTAATCTGTTTTAAGCATTTTCTCCCATGCTTTTAAAATTCAAAATTGCTAAACCATTTCTTGAAGCTTTGAAAGATTGCCTATAACCTTGAATTAGAGGCAAAATTTTCAAATAAACCAAGACGACCTACCTCTACCACTGTGTTTATCTTTCCACCAAGTTATGGTGTCATATGCTCGTGCTTAAGCTAGATAGAAGTTTCTACTTGTAATAATAATGGTGATAATTATTAATGTTACATTATAGTTTTCAGAGGACTTTCACATATATTTTTTGTGAAAACTAGTCTTGACTGCAGCCCCAGTGAATAAGGAGGGCTCACTAGCCCCAAATGCATGAGAAGGAATGAAAGCCTGACCAGCATAATCAGGAAGGGAAGAAACCAGAACTCTTTCCACTAAAGCACATTGGCCACTACAGTTTCAGTGTTTCAGGCATATCTATAAATGGCCCTCATTTGACTCAGATGTTGAAATTATAAATCCTATAAGGGGGAAAAAAAACTAGGAATCTCCATAAGATTAATTTCTTTGCAGAATATAAATGTAATTGCATGGGAGAAAATCTGGCCTATAGTTAGGTTTTCAGACATAATCTATGGCACTCAGGGTAGCTTGACCTCTTTTCTCGAGTTCAAAATAGTTGCTGTATAAGTTCAGCAGGGTCTCCCAGGATCTTGGATAAGGTTCATTCATTTGCTCCTTTTTCCTGTGTTATACTCAGCATCTGACTGCATTTTCAACTCACGGGAGACCAACCAAAGGCAATGAGGTTTCAGATTTGGCTATAATAGTTTGAGTGCAAGCTTGATTCCTCTGTTTGGAATGTGAATTCATGACTGGAGCACTCTAGTGGTCTCCTGGGGAACAATACAGAAAACTTTTTCCACATTTGGGGAGCCGAGTTTGGAAAACAAGAGTGTCTTATTGCCACGTTCCTGATGTTGCTCCAGGAACGCACTCACGTTATCACTCTCAGATGACACGCTCCGAGTGGGTTGTGATTATCATGGAGTGTCAAAACTTGCCCTGTGGACTTGTTTTGCAGTGCTTGGGTAGGTTTGTGTGTTCAGTTACAAGCCAAAAGAGAAATGACTAATTTGTTTTTAGATGACAAAGCCTTTCTTTTCTCACATTCCCATTAGTTTGTCAAGAGGGGGGAGAAAAAAGGAACTGGCTTTCTGTCTTGGTGCTCAGCTTTGGGCTTTTTCCCTCTCTGAGCTTTTTCCCTTTCCTGTCCCTTACCAGCAAGTCTCCATTTGCTCATGTTCTAGACTCGGATCTCCTATTCGGTCCCAGACAACTACTCCTTTGACTTAGCCTTACCTGCCCTCCCTCCACAATTCTTCTGTCTTGGGGAGGGTTCTCCTGGAGCACTGACCCTGAAGGCTGTCATCTATCTGGGCCACCAGACCAGGCAGGAAGTTCTGGGGGGTAACCCTGGGCCAAAGCATGAGACGAGACTCATTTTTACATTTTCTTCCAAACTCTACAAAGATCACATTACATACCCTTTTCAAATATAGATAATCTGCAGGGCCAGATTACTTCTTGATGTGACAGGAGGTTTAGAGGAGGTGACGTCTAGAGAGGTGGCATTGCTTCCTTTTTGGTGATTTATGAAAACGTCTGATGTATTCTCTTCTTGTGCCTCTTTCACTTGGTGCAACCTGATTCACTCCTTGACTGTCTCCTGGGACAGCAGCCTCTGGGACTCAAGGACTGGCTCCTTGTCTGCTGGTTTCTGAGCTTCCCCTAGTCCCAGCCTGCTTTTAGGCCCCAGCTGTACCTCACATTTGCAATCCCTTTGTAGCCATCCTGTGGCTGCTGCTTGTGTTTTTACCAATTCATCTGGAACACACAGGAAAAGGAGTAACCATTGAATAGAAATGAAACCATTTGAAGGCTTACCAAAAAAATAAAGGTAACAGACCTAGTCGAGACCCTTCCTCAGCCTTGCACCTCTGGAGCTGGCTGGAGACTTGGTTTTTCCTGGCCAGAGCCCTGATTCTAGGCTGTAGGGCAAAATGCAAAGCACTTTAGGGCTGAGTGGCTCCTTTAGAGCTAATCTAGTCCAGTCTCCATCTTTACTTGAAGAAACTGAGACCCATGGTCCCACAGTTAGTAAATTAAAAAGTCATGAGTAGAATCCTGGTCTGTCTATGACTGCGTTATTCCTATTACCCCATTGTGTTCCCAGCCTACTTGGTCCTTTTCTGGTGCCTGTGCCTTTTCTTGGACCTTCTTGGTTCTTTATTTCTATAAGTAATCTTCTAATGTAATACACCCTTCATCATTGGAATGCCACATGCCCTTATTTCCACAAGTTCTGGGCTTTTTTGGAAAGAGAAAAGCGGGAAGAGACATGCTTTTTCTGGAAGGTACATCTATAGTGATCATATTGGAGGGGTGAATAAGATTCCTTTTGTAATCAAAAGGGACAACTGATGGACCTGGATAAGAAACTAGAACTTTTGAAGCTTGTGACTATCGAATACAGGTTATGTAATGCTCATTGTGAACTCAGATTTTGGCTTCTTTATACCTATAGGAGGCTTTGAATTTCGAGACTACTGCAGTCATGAAATGTCTTTGGAGTGTTTCTAACAAAATTGTGTTTTATTTTACTTTTATGTAGCTTTTATTGAAGTTTAAACAAACCAAAAAAATCTTAAAATATATACCATCATTGGCCTATATTAAGCTAAATGTCAAAGTATAAATATTCTAAGACTGTTTGACCTGGGGATAGATCCACAACTTAACAGGGGCCTTTTTCCTAATTTTTTATTATTTGCTTGAAAAGGTATTTGGGAACGTTGCCAAATAGTTGTTTGTTTTTTAATAACGATTACGTTAAACCTGTCCCCACGTAGCCATCTCTTATGTAATATTTAGGTAAGGCCAGGCCCCACATTGTGTTATGATTTATGCTTTACATCCTTTCTGTTGATGTAATTGAAATTATTTCCCACTTGTTTGGGGATTGGAAGCCTGGAATCAACCTCTTGAGGGCAAAGATCTTACGAATTTATAGCCCTCCTGTCTCGTTAACAAGCTAGATTAACAATTTTAAACGAAGACTGTTTATACCAAATGAAGTATTTATACCAGCAAGTCCATTTTTTTCACACCCTTACTCTCGCTCGGTTTTTTTCCTGTTATTACAGCTTTTTTTTCTTCCTATGTTGTATAGTTTTATTTCAAATGTCTATCTTCATATACACCTTCTGATAGCACCTTTATGATCCTCCAGGTTTAGTTTGTTTGGAGTTTGTCACGTCAGGCCCCGATTTCCGGAAGTACACTCCCCTCTTTTTTGTTAAAAATTATTTCCGTGCCTGTGTAAGAGATCAGATAGTTAAAAAATGGAAGGATGCCTCTTTTCCCTTCCTAAGAGCCCTTAGTCCACTGGAATAAAAAAGCCCCAATCATGAAACTTTGACAACATGTATGTACGCCTAAATGCTTACTATACTCATATCTACATATTCTTGTCTTACTTTGAATTTAAGGGGGAAAGGGTGGGGATCAGCTCCTAGGGAAATGAGTATATAAGAAAAGACACAAGCATTCCCAACCTGTCTGAACCTGGAGCAAGCCTTTGGTGGCAAGTGTGTCTCTTATTCTTGACAGAGTGACTGTTAGGGTACAAGCATGTACTATTAAATGATTACTGATATTAGGGTTAGAATTAGGGTACCTAACCTGTCCAGGAGCCTTCTGACATGCGCTACTTCATTCAGTTATCACTAAGCACATTCACCTGGTCCTAGAATTCAGTGACTAGGAGAGAGTTTTATTGTATGCTGGCCTTGCCAGTGTTTGTCAGGTCCTTACTGAACAGTCAGGATGCATAAAAGAAGGTCAGACCTCACAGTTTTTTCCTGATCAGTCCAAGCTGGTGACTGAAAGCAAATGTCGCAGTGATAACTGAATTTACCAGAAGCACGTATTTAATCTCAGTGTGCTCAGAAGAAGAGAAACTTCTTTTATCATCCTCTCCAGACCAACTGGCCAAAAAGATCTCAGACAGGGACCCTGACCACATGTAGAAATTGTGGTCATTTGGGACATAATTTATGCAGATTTGCATACACTGACA